CCCCCCCAAACTCTTTTCTTTGGCCTTCTTCTTTGCTTTCCCCCTTGGGCCTCCCTCCCGCCCTCTCCCTTGGCCGCCACCGCGGGGCGCCCTGGCCAACGCGGCTGCCTCCAAACAGTCCCTGAACGCCTCCGCCCCTGACCCCGGTCCCCTCACGCCTCTGACCCCCGGGCCCCCTGAGCCCTGGCCACCGCAGCCCCAGCAGCGCGGGCCCCTGGCCCCAAAAGGGCGGCCCGCGGCACGGGCGGGCGGCCACAACCCAGCCTCTCCACCTCCACGCCACAAGGCCCACCCGCGCCTCAGCCGGCCTTGGGGGGCTGCTGGCAGGGCGGGCCCATGTTGCAGGGGGCTCAGGGGCCAGAGGCAGGGAAAGGGGGACCGGGGTGAGGGCCGCGGCCACGGACGCGGGGAGGGGGCGTGGGGGCCGGGCTGTGGGAGGAGGGCGGGGGGTGGGCAGGAGGCGGGAGCGGGCCTCGAGCCCCGGGCTCGGGCTCCTCTCTGCGGGCCTGTGCTCCCGAGGCCCTGGGCCCCGGCCCCGGGCCTGGGCCCTGGTGCCAGGATCCCCTAGCGCGGCCCTCGGGCTGCCCCCAGCTCCCAAGCCAACCGGCAGCCGCCCCAACCCCCACCCCTCGCGGCGCCCCCGCGACCTGGGCCCCCCTGCCCCTTCTCTCCAGCGGGCCTGGGCTCCGCTCAGGCCCGAAGGGCATTCCCTTCCTTCTCACCGACCACCTCCCCTTTGCCCCTGGGGCCCCGCGCCCGGGCTCAGGTGCCCAGGACGCCGGATGGCCGACCGCCCTGGGCCTCCGGGTCCGTGGGCACCCGGCTCCACGCTCTGTCTCACGGGAACAGCGACGGCAACAGCGAGGCTCTCTGGCTCAGCGAGACCGGCGGCGCCCCACACCGGGCGGAGACAGGCCCCCCGAACCGCCCCCCGCCCCCCTCGCCCGGCACCAAAGGACTAGACCAGAGAAAGAAACCCTGTCAGGCCCCCAGGCCAGACGGGGTGCTGGGCAGGAATGGGAGCAGATCGGGACTCCTGACACCTCGCCCGCAAGTCCTCGGGCTCCGGGGGCTCCTCCGGCAGCTCCGGGGCGCCGCCACCTAGGCCAAAGCCTCGCCCGTGTGTGTGTGTGTGTGTGTGTGTGTGTCTGTGTGGGTGTGGGTGTGGGTGGGTCTGTGGGTCTGTGTGTGTGAGTGTGTGAGTGTTGCGTGCACCCGTGTCTCTGTCCGCGTCCCTGGCAGCATCCCGGTCAGGGTCACCGCGTCTGTCCTGGGGGCTGGGGGTGGGGGTGGAGGGTCTGAGGGGGTCCGCGGGTCGGAGAGTCTGTCTCTCTGGCTCTGCGTTCTTGCCGTCTGTCCAGAGGTCCCTCCGTCTGTGTCTGTCCCTGTGCTTCCCTGGGTGTCCGTGTGTCTGTGTAGGTGAGCCGGCCTCTCGCGTGTCTCGGTCAGGGCCTGGTGTGGGTGGGTGGCGAGGGGAAGCGTGGCGGAGGAAGGGCCACGGGGCGGGGCTGCCGCGTCTGGGCTGGCGTGTGGCGTCGCCCGTGTCCTCGGGTGGGCTGGGAGCGAGGTGGGGTGGAGAGGAGGGGAGAGCAGAGCGGAGCGGAGCGGAGCAGAGCGGAGGAGGGCAGAGCTGGGGAGAGCTGAGGAGAGGAGAGGAGAGGAGTGGAGAGGAGAGGAGAGGAGAGGAAGGCAGGCCAGGCGGCCGGCTGCGCCAGGCGGGCGCTGGGGGGCGCTGAGCACGCCGCGCGCGCCCCGACGCACCCCGTCGCCATGTGGGGAGCCACTTGGCGGCGGGGCTGGGGAGCCCCGGGATGGGAGAGTGCCCGGACTTTGGCGAGGCCGGGGTGCCGCAGGCGTCTGGGCCCCTGGGCGGGCGGGCTGGGAGGCAGGCGCCAGGCCCAGGGCGGGCGGAGGGGGGAGCCGCGGCGCGCGCCGGGGCCCG